AAGAGCGTGAAGGCACGCCAAACAGTGTTTAGAGCATATAGCGGGTCCCAAACCCTAAACCCTATACCCGGATCCTAAGAATCTCAACCCTCAAACCCTGAAGCCCTAGACCATAACTTTCTAACTACTCCCTAAACCCCCCAAAACCACTACATCCTCAAAAGCACATGCTTTTCACACCCTAAACCCGAAACCCTAAACCCTTGCTTGGCAGTCCTTTCATGTCCACGAGAAATCGCAGCAAGGAGGGGTTCTCCATCCTGGGGTTCCAGTGTTTGGGTCTCGGGCCTAAACGGTTTAGGGTTTAGGGTTTAGGGTTTAGGGTTTAGTACCCTAAGCCCTAAACCGTGCTGGTGTAGACTCGAGTGTAGGGTTGAGGGGTTAGGGCTTAGGTTTCCTAAAGGTTTCCTCTGATGGTTCCTTTATGGGCTCCTTTAGGGGTTCTTGTCAGGGTCCTTTAAGAGCTCTTTGAAGGGACCCTGAAAAGCGTTCCCTCCAGGGTTCCTTTAAGGATTCCCTTGAGGGCCCGTTACCGGTAGGGTTCGTTCACGGGTTCTTGTAAAGGCTCCTTCACGGGTGGAATTTCCACGGTCACCAAACCTTACTTAGGATTGCACGCTAATAGGCCCGAGCCATCCTGCAACAGTCGGAATAGGGTTTAGGGTGTTGGGTTTGATACCGACATCATGGGGACGGCCTCTCCACTTTGAGCTACACATGGACACATGTGCCTTCCGTTTGGGAGCGAATGATGATGTGAATAAGCCAGCATCGTGGAAGAAACCCTGAACCCGCAACGCTGAACCCTCGCAAATCTGCAATCTTCCTGCATAACCCTGGCCCCTACTGGCCCTAGTGCCAATCCCCAGATCCGGTGCAATTGTCACGGCCCTCTCATGCTTCGGGTCGTTTCCATTCTGTTCCCAAACTACAAGCATCCTTCTTTCCGGTTCGGCTTAAGCTTAAATTTTAAGAATTTCGGGCTTAGGGATCCGCGATGATCTGGGGCTTATGGCGCTCCTGCACAAAAGTGTCGAGTGTCCGAAAGACAGCAGTTTCCACTTGGGCCTGTGCCCACCGAACGACGACATCTCGCCACTTCGCTCCAGCATCTGCGCCGAAGTGCATCAAGTAGTTGGTATGGAACTGGTTTTGGACCACCAGCTCGGTCAGGTCAGTCGCCAGATCCCTGTCGTACCAGCTGGGGCGACGCTCCTCACCTCGGCGAGCTTTGCCGAGCCTGAGTGTTGCCCGCTCCAGGAACGGCAGTGGCGCTCCTGACGTGGGCACAGCGCAGCGCTGCCACTAACCGCGCTTGCAGGGCTACATATTCCCTACAGACCTTGGACAGTAAACCGCGTTTGAACAGTCCTGCTTTGCCAGCCAGATTGAGACCCTTGGCCCTAAAGCCTAAACCCTAAACCCTAAACCCTGAACCCTAAACCCACAGCCCTAAAACCCTAAACCCTGAACCCTAAACCCAAAAACCCTGAACCCTGAACCCAAAGCCCTGAACCCTAAACCCTGAACCCTAAACCCAAAACCCTAAACCCTAAACACCTAAACCCAAAGCATAAAAACCCTAAACCCTGAACCCTAAACCCAAAGCCCTGAACCCTGAACCCTGAACCCTAAACCCTGAACCCTAAACCCTGAACCCTAAACCCAAAGCCCTAAACCCTGAACCCCAAACCCAAACCCCTAAACCCAAAGCCCTAAAAACCCTTAACCCTAAACTCTGAACCTAAACCCTAATCCCTACTCCCCTAAACCCAAAACTCTAAGCCCTAAAAAACCTAAACCCTGAACTCTGAACCCCAAATCCGAAGATCCGAAACCCTCTTCTGATTTTCGAAGTCTTGCATCGTGCTGGTGGTCCTATGGGCTATGTAGTGGCCTTAATAAGTAAGGGTTCTTACAAGGGTCTATAATGGTTACTATAAGGGTTACTATAAGGTTTAGGGTTTGGGGGCGGGCCTTAAGTCTTAAGAATTAGAGTTGGGTTTTATAGGTTCCTTATTATCATTATAGTATAATATAGCCCAAACCCTATTCTGATGATTAAGGCCCCTCTATTCTGTGTGAACTGTGGAGAATCTCCTGAGCCCTGCAATACCCCTCGAAAACGTCCTCAGGGTTTAGGAGGGTTTATAGGGTTTAGGGCTTATAGGGTTTGTAGGGTTTATAGGGTTTAGGGTTTAGGGTTTAGGCTTATAGGGTTTATAGGGTTTATAGGGTTTAGAGTTTAGGGTTCAGCGTTGTAGTAGTAGTTACTTGTTGGTTCACCTGTCACTCTGCTTCATGTTGCATCGTCCAGACGTTCAGCCTGCTCCGCCCCAAACCCTGTTGCTTTAGTTTCAAACCCAACCATAAGACCTTGATCCTAAACCCTAAACCCTGAGCCCCCTAAACCTAAACCCCTGAACCCCTGAACCCCTAAACCCTAAACCCTAAACCCTGAGGCCTTGATCAAGCCCTGCAGACCTCTTTTAAGCACCCCGAACGACACTTGGAACAAAACTCCGACTGACAGGGCGCCTACATTAGCTGCGAGAGGTGTGTAGCAGAGACGCCATGCCCCGCGAATCCCAAAACCGTCGCGGGTCGAGGAGGGTTGGTTAGCTTTAGGATGTTTGGAAAGTCTTGGGTTTCAGGCTCTAGAGCTTAGGCCTTAGGCTTTTAGGTTTACGGTTTAGGGTTTAGGGTTTAGGGTTTAGGGTTTAGGGTTTAGGGTTTAGGGTTTAGGGTTTGTGGTTCAGGGTTCAGGGCCGTCGGGATTTGGAGTTTCGGTTTCGGACCGCCCTGACACCTAGGCAGCCCAGGATCTTGGTGTAGTCACGATTCTCCAGCTCCTGCATATGGAAGCGACTGTCGAGGTTGCCATAATATGCAGTATCATAGGGACCCTTTGGGAGGTCGGGCGGAGGGGGGGGGGGAGGGGGGTAGGGGGCCTTAACACCAGTGATAAGGACCTAATCAGGCACGTTTAAGGAAGTAAAGTCCCCTACCCCCCTGCCGCCTACCCTCCCAAGGGTCCCTAACCCTAAACCCTGAACCCTACCCTCAACGCGTAAGCTGCTAGGGGTCCGTATGATCGTAGGTTTTAGGGTTTAGGGTGTGCATACTGTAGAGCTTCTGCTCAGCTCAAGCTCCGGATGGCCCTGATACCCAAATACACTGAGGGTTTCGGGTCTAGGGTTCAGGGTGTAGGAGTTTAGGGTGTAGGGTTTATAGGGTTTAGGGGTTTAGGGGTTTAGGGTTTAGGGTTTAGGGGTTTGGGGGTTGAGGGGTTTAGGGTGTAGGGTTTAGGGGTTTAGGGGTTTAGGGGTTTCGGGGTTTAGGGGTTTAGGGGTTTAGGGTTAGGGTGCGGCAACGACGACGCAGCGAGGGCAGGGCAGAGACTATTCATTCCACCATCAGCAAAACCAGAGGACAACAGGAGATGCAAAAACCACGAACCCATACAGACATGCATGGACATAGGATTGTGTACTTGTATGGATGAGCGAATGCAGCCGAGCATGAATGAAAGGCTCAAAGACCAAGTTGTTTAATGCAGGAACACAGGCCAAACGACCGATTGATCAAGACATGACCGGCACCACAACCTATACCACAGCCATCGCCGCCGGCTCCTCCACCAATACCACCACTAGGAGAAGTACAAGGGAGGCTACAGCATCCGATAGTCTACGGAAGCCGCACAACAACGCAGACCCTACAAGCCTGTAACATTGAACCCGGCCCTGTAAAACTGCAAACTCGTGTTGCAAGCACCCCAAAACCCTTAAAACCTCCATGCAGCCTGGGAAAAATCCACAATGCACCTCACCCTCCCTCTGGATCCTGTCAGAATTAAGACCGCGCCCCTTTTGTGCAGCCTGCCACAGCCTTAAAATCCAAAAGCGTAGACCCAAAAATCCCAAAATCCGAAACCACCCAACTCCCAAAGAGCCATTTTTAACGCCCAAACCCTAAGCCCCCAACCATAAATCCAAATCCCCCCCAGACACCAAAACCCCCGAAAGCCCCAAAAGCCCGAAAAAAAACAAAAGCCTCCCTCTTTGGGAGTCCTTTCGGTTTAGGGTTCAGGGTTTAGGGTATAGGGTTTAGGACTAAACCCTAAACCCTCCCTCTGTTGGGATAAAACCTTACACCCCAACCTTTAAACTCTAAAACCCTAAACCCTCCCTCTTGGAGGTGGGATACTTTTCCAACACATCCGAAACCACCCAACTCCCAAAGAGTCTTTTCTAAACCCTCCCTCTTTGGGATACTTTACCCCTACACCCTAAAACCACAAGCTCTAAACCCGAAACCCCAAAACACTAAAACCCCTAAACCCGACCTCTTGTGGTATACTTTTTCTTGAAGCCCAGGCTGGTCCTCCAAGTCAGCCTCTGCTCGGTCTGCCAAAGCCTGCACGGGTGAGTTTGGTCTTGTGGGGGGGTTCAGGGTTTAGGTTTTAGGGTTCAGGGTTTACGGCTTAGGGTTAGGGGTTCAGGGCTTAGGGCTTCGGGTTTAGGGTTCAGGGTTTAGGGCTTCGGGTATGAGGAGGATTGAACTAAATTCAACGATCCCTTCTGCATGTCTTGACCTCAACTTCCCAAACAGAATCAGAATCGGAACAACTTCTAATTCTATCCTAGACTTATACTGCCTCCTCCTCCTCCGTTCAGGGTCATTGCACATGGTCGATATGGTTGTCCGGTCCGGGCACGTGTTTCTGCTCACCAAGCCAAGCTGGGTGTCCGTCGCACTGCAATGCTGCTGAGAGTCATTAAATTTGCGATGAGATAAGAGCAAGACATCTCGGCTTTGAGAGACATCTGTGCATAAGCATGCAAACGGCTTTGCATACTTGCATGCAGCCTCAGCGGCAACAAGCTTAGTCCCGAATGCCACCAAAGTCACTCGACTCATCCCCTCGGTGCAGGCCAGGGCGCTGTGGCAAAGCCTGCCGATGTAAGGCTGCTGGATCAACGGTGATGTGTCAAAGGTCACTTCCTCAACCAAGTCTCTCCATCATTCCAACTAATGGATGGCTGAGCATGCCAGCAAATAACACCCGAAACAACGCGGCCCGACATCTTGTAGACGACCGTGTCTTGTGTCACTGCCTGCAGAGACGTAACAGTTTCCGGCAGGTCCCACTGGACATGCCAGACCATCCTGTTCCCATTGACCTCTCCAACACAGCTGTTGTCTGCTTTTCGATACCAGAATCCCTGCAAGTCGAGCCAGAACCTATCCTTCTCCTGGACATCGCAGACAGGAAGTGCTCGGATGGTCTCGACAAAGCCCTCGTTTGCATTGTCGGAGTTGCAGCAGCTGTTCAAATCGGAAGCACATGAGGCAAGGCCCAGCCACCGAACCACATCGAACATCGCATTTCCCAAGGATAGGTACCTTTATGCCTTTTGGAGCCGGGGCGTCTCATAAAATATAACCAGATAGGGACCATGAGGGAATAGAATGACCGTAAACCCTAAACCCTAAACCCTAAACCCTTAACCCTAAACCCTAAACCCTAAACCCCAAAACTAGAGGCTGTAAGCGGATCCGGAAGTGGAAGTTGCAGCCTGCAAAAACCCCGGGCTGGCTGCTTTTTAAGGAGTGCAGGCAGACCTCCGGTGTGGTATACTTATGGTTTAGGGGTTTAGGGGTTTAGGGTTTAGGGTCTAGGGATTGATGGTTTAGGGTTTAGGGATTTAGGGCTTAGGGTCTAGGGTTTAGGGTTTAGGGTTTAGGTTTCTCTCTGGGAAGCCACAGGGTGGGGAGTTCCGGGTATATCGGGCTTCTAAAAGGCTTCTAAAAAGTATGTAGACCTTCTAGAAGGCTCCTATAACGGTAACTACCCACCTGAAAATGTCCTAGACTTAGGGCTTAGGGCTTAAGGCTTAGGGTTCAGGGGTGAGGGGCCTGACTTGAAAGCCGCCAAACCCTAAACCCCGGTTGTTATGATTCCTAATGTAGGGGCCTTAATAATAAGAATGGGGTTTGGGGGGCCCATTATACAAAATGTATAATAAGGAACCCTCAAAAATAATATAGGTAATTATCAAGGCCCCTATAGTAAACCCGGTGGTTATGATTCCTACACCTTTGAAAGCCTGGGAGGCACTCCCTCGTGGCCAACGGCTGCGGTCAAACAGCGCTGCACTTGAAGTCATGTAGGGCTTGGGGCACAACATTAAGACAAAGAACAACAGTAGTAACAATACAATACGGATAAAAATAAACAAGAATGATAACAAGAAGAAGAGTAATAATAACTAGTAATAATAAGAGTAAGAGTTGTTAGCATAAAGCTTACTACTTTTAACAGCGAAATACCACGAATACTTACACGGGTAATAAAATTCTTGACAAGAATCATCATCATCATCATCATCATCATCGTCATACCTTAAAACCCTAAACCCTAAATCCTGACATCATAGTGATGCGGTTTTGAAGAGAATCACGAAGCTCACAAGCCCACTTGAGGCTCTCAAAGCTTCGACACGAAGTCCGGAAGATACCGGATCTCTGGGAAATGCGCTTTAGGGGTTTGGGGTTTAGGGGCTCAGGGTCTATAGGTTTAGGAGTTTCGGATGGAACTTGGGGTTCGGTGTGTTAGGGTTTAGACTTTAGGGTTGAAGGTTTAGGGACGAGGACTGGCCTCGATTACGGGCACCGTGGGAGTGCCCCAGTAAGGCTTGCAGAGAACGGGTTTCAGGCAGTAGGCTTTCTTCTGCAGCACTCAGATGGATCTTTGGAACAGCCACACTAAACCCTAAACCCTAAACCCGAAACCCCAAACCCTAAATCCTAAGCCTAAACGCTAAGAGCTCTCACAGTCTGCTACAACCATCATTCTGTTACAACCATCTGCAGGCGCCTTGAACACTAAAGCTCTTCGAACAGAGCGTTTGGTATGCAGGTGTCGGGTGTGGGGCTAAGCGCATAGAGTCTAGGGTGGAGGGCTGGGGGCTCGGAGGTTGTGATTTAAGGCAGAGGGTTTCGGGTTGAAGCTTTAGGGTTCCATTGCAGTCTTTTGGGTGGTTGTCAAAATTATGGTCCCTTTTTGGGATACGGCACCTATTGTTTAGGCTACCTTAAAAGGGACCATAATTTTGACAACTACCCATGTAGCAGCCTGGCATTGCATCGCGCAGCCACAGCTTGGAGTCGTTGAGAATTGGGGCTCGGGACTTCTGCACTGAAAATGCAAGTATCACCTGCTTGTGCTTGAGCCGACCGCCCAAATCACCCTGAACCCTACACCCTGAACCCTAAACCCTAGACCCCTAAACCCCAAAAAGCCCATGATCCCAAACCTGAAAAGTCGGATCTGCGAACTCCGCAAAAGCATGCCTGATCGATGCACTTGTTAAGTGCTCCGTTCAGCAGCTGCATGTTGTCCTGAGCAAGAATGATAATAGCTGATATCTAACATCTGATGTTTATATCACAAATAGTTACCATCATAACGACAACAATAACAATAACAATACGATGTCGAATTCAAGGCACAAGAAGCTCTGTTCGCATTCATTGGCACTTGGGTGGGCGTCGTCTGTCATTGCTGGCTTGGTGCTGGGATTTGAAGGTTGTCACTGAAGGTAGCAAAGTGGCAGTCTAAGTTGCAGGGCTGTTGCCCTGGATCTTCTGGCAATACTACTCGCGGTAAGTGGCTGTCGCAGTATCTGTGGCGGCGATAACCGTTATGACTCGTGCCACGCAATCGTAGTCGTGGCCGTAGCAACTTCCACGGCAAACTAGTGAACTTTCATGTTCTTTCGTTGGCAAGAATGCCAAATAGAGGGCCTTACTAGTTACAGTAAGGGTCTGTGGCTATGATTACAGTACAGTTAGAAGGGAACTATCTAAGCATGTGGGCTTCCATGTTAGATTCCCACTTCAATACGAATGCGTGATTTTTTCCCGAAGGATCAGACCGGCCCACAGACAGCTGACCGGGGAAGGGGGCGGGTAAGTTTCATTCGGACATGCAGGGACCTGGATAGTTAAAACTGAAAAAGTAAGGTATGCATGTTGGGTTTATCGTACTGTATTCATAACAAGGAGCCGCAGGCCATAATTTTGGTAATTGTTCACGCTTTTATACTACCGAACGACACCTGTGAGGCCATTGATGTCTGGGATTTAGGGCCAAGCCAGGACTGGTAGGTTCTCCGGGAGGTCGCATGGAAGAGTCACCCCCATAGCTGCGGTTTAGGGTGTAGGGCTTAGAGCCTTTATTACAAGGGAGCTGTTCTAGTCCTGAACCCTGAACTCTGAACCCTGAACCCTAAGCCCTAAACCCTATAGTTTGGGGACCTAGGGAACTACTGCCATGAATCAGGGCAGGCCGGGCTTAAGGCGTAGACATTCTTAGTGGGGCCACAAAACTCACATGCTCTTCCGAGTTTGCAAGTGGGAGCTAAAACCCTAAGCTCCAAAACAGGCTTTAGGGTTTAGGGTTTGGGGTTTAAGAGCTAAGCAACTTATGAAGGAGACAAGTGCATGAGCAATGAATGCCCCCCAAGCCGCAGTGAACTCGCGCTGCCGCTCAATAAGCACGTCCATGAGGGGAAGCTTCCAGTACTGGAACGGGGTCTGGGCACGGTGCTCCACCTGTCATCTCTGGGTTGCACATCGGACTTGGCTTTGAGAAGCCTTGTGCAAGATGTCACATTTCCCTGCACTATACTACAAACGAGCACGAACGCATGTGCTGGGTAGGCATACGTACGTACATACATACATGCACGCACACACACACACATGCACACATGCAGACGCAGCACGCATACATGCATACAAACATACACACGCTCGGTTTCACAGATAGGTTTGGGACTGCGGGCTTGGGCGCGCTTCAGAGCTTTGCGTTGGCAGGTGTGTTTGGGCTTCAGAAAGCTTTCTTCCTAAGACCTGTGGCTCGAACCCCGGCGAAAGAACTCGCCAGCTGAAGCTTATAAATTACTCCTGAGTTAGTCTACTCTGAAAACTTGGGGATTTAGGGTTTAGGGTTTAGGGTGTTGGGTTTCGGGTTTAGGGTTTTGAGTACTGAACTTGTCCTGCCTGTTCCCTCGCAGCAGGCTTATCTTTCATAACTAGTAATCGACGTACCAGTCTTGACATCTTTTACACCTCAGGGTTATAGAAAATGGGCGTACCTTGTTTTGTATCCATAGTAGCTTAGGGGCTGAGTGCCCTAGCCCAAAGAAGGTTAACCTCTTGAATTATAGTAGGATCATATAAGCCCCAGAAGGTTCAAGGTTACCTACTCAGCCCCTGAGGTAGGGTCCCCAACTATCTGACACTCGCACCTCTCTCAACGACTGGATCGCGGCTTTGACCACGGGGCTCTCACCCTCCACAGATCCTCAGCTCGCCCAGCGCAGGGGAGTGAGGCTGCGATTAAGGCTCTACCTTAAGAACCCAAAACCTACTTTGTTGTAGGGTCCCAATAATCCCATATTAGGGTTTATAATCAGAACCTACAAAAAAGTGGGTTTTGGGTTCTTAAGGTAGGGTTTAGGGCTTTAGGATTAGTGTTTAGAGCTCTACGGGCTTAGGTCTTTAGGGGCTTAGGCTGTTACTGTTAGGGCTTGTTCTGGGTATCTTGCGATGGTGGGATTCTGGGGTTCTTGGGCTTACCGCAAACCTCGAAATTCTCGAGCGCAGCGCCTTCGAAACGACACTTCCCAAGTGCCACTATGTTCGCCAGTCGCCCGTTAGGAATAAGGGTACCCTTTTTCCTACGATTCGGCTTTTTTATAAGGGAAAGGGGAAACAGGGCAAAAGGGTACAACTGGGGAGCCCAGGTCAAGGAGCCAAACTCGTAGTTGAAGACAGACTTGCCGATGATATCCAAGGCGACCGAGCCGAAACGCTCCTGTTCTCGGGCCGTGCTGGATGAGGATTGCTGTAACGGTAACTACAGGGGTTACCATAAGGGTTCCTCTAAGGACTTGGACTTGTATAACAGATCCTGGAGTTACAGCAAACACCAAGTTCCCGTCCAATGTCATCCACCTGGCAAACACACCTTGCTTTTGCATATATTGTATGCTCTAACACACACACACACACACACATCTTGAACAAATGATAGGCAATGACAGGCCTCTTGAGGTGAAGGGAAGCACATGTGTGCATAAACTCGATGATTGCACGCATGCGTGCGTGTACATGTGTATATGTATATACAGATATGTACACATACACATCCATATACATACGCATAAACATATACATATTCATATGCATACATACATACATACATACATACATACATACATACATACATTTGCATACATAGATATCTGCCACCTGCACATGCACGCATACCTATATGTGTGGATGCAGCCCTTCTGGGAAACGACAACATGAG